ACACAAATTGAAGGGGACAGACTAACAATTTTCGCTACACAAGAGTGCCTAAAAATGCATCTTTTATTTTGCTTCGCGAAATGAATGACTATTATGTACAATTGCGTCTATCACAATATTGCTATATAATTAAGAATCCAGGATATTTTGATACCTGAAACCTGTTCCTCTCCAAGTTAATTACTTTCCTTATTTTTATTCACTTGGGGAACTTTCTTCGCATTCAACATCAAGAGAAAATCATATCGAGCGAAGTTTTCATAGAAATTAACCAGGTTGTTAAAGCACGTCGAGTTATAATTGGAAATCTTAAAATCAAAACTGATAAAATTTCTCTTTGATGTTGACGATATGATCTTGTTTTTGTGCTGGGTTTAACTTAAATCGAATTTATGATGGAGAGAAAATTCATATTTCTAATAAATAAATGTGAGGGCAATCTCTTAAAAAATCTTACTAATATAATTACAAAAATGCTAGGAATTATAAAATAAATTACTTTAAAGTCAAATTGAAAAAAAAATATTTGTCAGTCACAAATTGATATCTTAAATTCATGATAAAATATAATGTCGATTAATATTCTTAAATATTATTTGAATGTATGTATATATTTTTTGGCACAATGGTATAATATAAAAGACTGCATTTTTTCACGAATCATCGCAATAAGGTGGATTAAGATGGCGGATTTCGCATGATGGGTGGTCGACAAGAGTCGCGAAGCGCAATTGTCGTCGGTTAATCTCCATAAACTCGGTCGTACTAGTGCTCGGGATGCTCTCGCGAAAATCCTTCGGCAACATGCGCGACATAACGAGTACGATGTGAGTTCGTTGCGGGAATTAAGGAAACTCCAAACTCCAAATTGTCGACGTGTACGTCCGTTCGTCTGCATAATAAATATTCCAGCATCATAAAGGTTGCGAAAAAAAGATTATCACTAAAGAATCAATTTATTATAAACAGGGGACTGATAGAACGCAACTGATTTTACGCGTAGATATGCAAGATAAACTGATATTATAAATAAAATTGTTCCAAAATATTATAATATTAATAATGAATTCGCATATCGCGTCGTAATTGTGTGCAATTCACGCTTATTTAAAGATATTGTTTTATTTAATTCATGCGTATGTCGAAGAATGATAGAATACGGACAGAAATTGCGAGAGAATATTAGTCCATTTTCTATCGCTTCCTGGCACAGTCCGTTGCACTTTGACATACTTCAGCCTGCTGTTCTTTTTTTATCTCACTTCTTATTTTGACATTTATCTTTACTTTGCTTGATTTATGTCAGAAAATCTATTAATTAAATTATATACTAACATGGTAAAAAGAAAAAAAAACGAAAAAAGAAGTAATATGTCACTTATTGTTAGAGTTAAATTCAAATGTCTCTCTTTTCTCTATCATCTCTCTTTCTCTCATTAATTGCGGAAGAAAACATACTTTTATATGTACATATTATTTCAACAATATCCTACATCCTACGCTGATGATCTGTTTTGTGATCTTTTTTGATCGCATTACCTCGACGAGAGAATTTCACGAGATTTACAGCTTTCTGAATTTATCCTCCATTTCTCTAGTATCCAGCGGAGAATGTCTCTTTTATCATTTCAGTCAGAAGGACCTTCCATGTGTGATACTTGACGCGTTCACTCGAATCCTCCCCTGTGTACGATCGAAGATATATTTCGTCATCACTCATGTCTTAAAAAGATGTGGGTTACTGTCCATTCCGTCTTACTTTTGAATATATATAAATAAACGCATCTTTGTTTTTTTCTCCTTGCTAAATGACTCTCATTCGAAGAAGTATCATCAAGCGTGTCTCATCTTATTACGTACTGATATTTCGTATCAATTCTTTATCGAATTTTCTTCACGTATTCAAGAATTAAAAAAAGAGTGAAACTCTGAAGCATTTTCCTTGTACATTTTTCCAATATTTATATAGATAGAGTCAATATCCGCCTTTCAATCTATTTACACTAAGTAGTTATAAAAAATATAGTATAATTACTTTAGATTGATTGTCAGCTGATCGTTAGTAACAATTTTGCGACGATTTGATAAAAATTAAATAAAAAGAAAAGATATAATAAAATAACGTATTGTTGCACATTTCATTAAAACGTGACGAATTTATCGCGTTGCCCTACTTTCCATATCGAATCGTCTGTGAATGTAACCGTGATATATCCATATCGAGATCAAATTTCCTCGCGCGTGAGATATTTCCAAGCGGCGTTAATGAGATCCTTTGTCACTCTTATTGTCATTTCATGCTTCTTGGGGTTGGCGCATATATTTTCCGTATCCCCGCATGTAGCTGGGGCATCCGGTAGATCCGCCCGGCATCTTTTTCATCTCAATTTCGAAGATCACTCATCGGCCATAGACAAAGCGCTGGCGTAAGCTAACTTCCCTTATTGTCTGACCGCAGATCGAGTGCCACTACTGGCCGTAAGTAGACTCATCCCTTCGTGATCAACCACGAATAGCAGCAAGAAAATACACCTCGTTTATTTGCGCCTCGGCTTTACTCTCCCTCGTTTTTTTTCGTTTGTTATTGTGCCTTCGTTTATCTCGATTTAATTTCTATTCTATTTTATTCTTTCTTTCGTTAACTAAACATATTTTAACTTAATTGAAAATTTATTTGATTTTAACACAAATAATAACGGCGGACACATTTTTCAAATTCCTATCTTGAAAATAAGATCTTCTGATCTTATATGATAGAACAATGAAATTCATAATAATAATAATAATAATAATAATAATAATAATAATAATAATAATAATAATAATAATAATAATAATAATAATAATATAATAATGATAATAATAATAATAATAATAATAATAATGATAAGAATATTGAATAACAATAAGGACTGGTTTTATAAACATGCTTTGTTATAATAATAAATTTTTATTAATAATGAGAAGACAAATAATTAAGTAAACATGTTGAACTTGATTGAAAACGAGGACAATTAATTGAAAGACATATAATATCATTATATACGTAATATTGTTGCATCTTCTATATTATACACCTGCCTTCTACCACTGTCAACCATAATTAAAATGAACATATGGCGCCTCTAGTGGTATGGCAATGTCTGAATTTTCCTATCCGATACGTCGAGCAAGCAGATTCGATAATCGGCAAAGTTTTGATCCACCCTTGGGGCTTTATTGCCTTCTCTTGCGGCCGACTATGTTTATAATTAGAATCGTTCCAAACTATCTGGACTGTCCAATGGCACGGTAGATGTTATCGAGACACATAGCGGCCGCACAATGGATATTTAATCTCAGTCTCTCATCAGGAGACCGCATTGAAATGATCGATCGCTTGCGCATTGCTTTTTAGTGAGTGAGTTCAATCTACCGTAACTTTTAGATCTCGCGAGTTTTCCGCTGTGCGCATCTTAATTCAATAAAAAATTGTAATGTGTGTATATATTGACGTAAAATGTCTCTGGAATATTTTTCACAGCATTTTATGTTTATTTATACACGACGAAATATAACATGTATGTTTTTTTTGCTCTTCGTAATATTATTAAAATTTTATGCATGTTGAGAATATATAATACTATTCGATATCAGATGCGTCACGCTAACTTTTTTTCTTCCGTGATAAACTGATTATTAAATTCCCGCATATTAGGAACATTACTAAAGAAACATACATATTTTACGAGTAATAATAGTGCGAGTCACAAGGCGTAAATTAAATTTTTTGTTATCGTGAAATAAAATGAAATTAATTTAATACAAAGAACAATACAAGCAAGCAATTAATCGCAATTATTTAATGTATATGTCAAGGTTTATTAAATAAATATATTATTAATTTGAACAAAATATATAATTATGTTAAATAGCGTTATAATTGAATTAATTAAATGATGAAGGCATATGGTCATTGTAAATTATCGTCAATAGTTATATAATAATAATGTTATTAAGTATATATGTATGAGAAACAGATACGAAGTTAACGAGCAAGATTGTAATTGCGAAGAGCGACTTACACTTGATATACGTTGCTGTGAATTATTAAATATGTCAAGGTAATATTAATTACGTTATATATGTATTATACAATCATCATCATTATATATCATGCGTACATGTTACGTCAAAAATTATATTATGCTGCTTAATAATTATTAGAAGCTCTTAATTTGCAAGACGTGTAAATTGTTTGAGATGACTGCTAAGGATTAATTCGATAAACATCAACATTCATTAGCGACTAAAAATCACCAACGTATCTCTCATCATAGTCATCAATGACTTATCTAAGCAAGTAAACCGAGTAAGCGAATAATCCGACAATAAATACGAACAATAAATCCGACAATAAATAAGAAGTGAGAGAAATAAGACGAGAATTCAGAAAAAAATTTGTAAGAGAAAAAGTAATAAGATTATGCGTACAATTCAATTCGTCAACTTACTTTATAAATTTGGATTCTTCCATTTTTGATTAATCAAAATCATATTTTTAAATGGTATATTTTGATTTGTACATCATCCGTTGTGCAATATTTAGCAAATTAATGTTATTAGTTTGGCTTCTTTTCTAAACAAAGTATATAGTTCCTACTTGTAAAGATACGGAAGATCAGAAATGCCTCTTCAAACCATGATCAAATGCAATCTTAACAATCTTGCATCTCTCAATTAACTTCATCGTCATAATCTCGCGGCTTATCAAGGATATCACGAACATTCTTCCCGTAAGTCTCAATGCGATCAAACGTTTGTGGTAAAGGAGACAAAACCGGGATCGCGCAGGACAGGGGAGCCGTCGACAGGACTAGCTAGAGCAGAGATGTGCACCGGCGTGTTCCGGTCGCGGAGGCTGCGCGGAAAAATCGATAGTCGACGCTCGCCGGCAGCGGCGGCGTCGCCGTCGTCGTCGCCGCCGATGTCGGGTAGCGCGATGGAGTCTGCCCGATGGCGCAGTCAACGTCGGGACCGGCACCCCAAAAGATCACCCCACGCAGTTAAACCCATGTTCGCCAATCCACCTCTTTCTGACTGGCGCCCCCTCAAGAGACGTCGTACTTTTCATTCGTTTGAATAGCCTCAACCGATCGCACGAACGTTTTTACGAGGCAAAGCTCGCTTGTACGAGAACGGACGACTTATTAAGCGTATCGTATTTACGGAAAAAGTGTGTGCAATGTGGGTATGTGCGACTATGTGTGCGTGCGTGCGTGCGTGCGCGTCGCCGGCACGTTGACACCTTCGTCTCTTCGACGTTCCCCGGGACGAAGAAACCCACGAGGAAGGGTGAGCCGCGTCGTAATTTTCATCCGGGTCGACGACCTCGAATCCAAGGACGTTCCTTTCGATAAACCTGCGACGTGCATCGCGCATTATTGCCTGCAGAACGAGTGCCGGTGAGTTTCTCGACGAACTGAAGGAGCTCCATTGCGAAATGCGGGCGATGTGCGTCGCAAGGTGAAGAGGATTCGTGCGTAACACTAGACTCGGGAACGAGTCTGTACATCTTCTATCCTCGCGAGGATATTCGCCGGGATAATCTGGAGTATTTGCGATTGCATTTACCGTGGGCTTTTATTTTCTTTATTTGCGCAATTTCTATTAGAATGTTCTTTGACATTGATGAGATGACAGTGATGAGATAATATATATTAAATAAAATATCTTTAATAAAAGCAGATTTATTTTTTCTTGCGCGAGAACTTTTATATATAAATTATCTATGAATTCTTTACATGAAATATAGTTCACGCTACGATTACCTACATCCGTATATATAATTATCGTCGCACGGAAGATATATTTTGTAGCTTCTCTTCTAATTAATTTATAGATTCGTAAGTTCGGAATGTCTTTTGTAAATGACAGCGATGTTTTTGCCTTTCGGTGAAAAGACGCTTTTGAAACGACGACACGTGGTCTGATCTTTCGAGTTTTCACGTATTCGAGTTTCCTCTGACGAGATGTAAGCCGCGAAATCTCCGATACGACCCTGCGATACGCGCCTTTTCGAGGACGTTGACCTCAAGCTTCCGCGTCTGTCTGGCTAGTTTATCTGTTTTCTCTGCGTTCAAACGTCCTCGAACCATCGAATTTCGATAGTGCGCATACCACGGATGCAAATGGGAAATATTTTTCGCAAAGACGTTCCAAAGGCAAATTTCACAGCACGTTGCGATGCAACGTTTATTCTCCTGTCCATTCGTTTCTGTCGGATATAAATTTATCGTTTAATATTTGCTATAGCTCTTCTATCGTTTCCACAAAGAATTCTAATAATTCACATGTTTACGTATATATCATGTTTAGTAAACGTATCTTCAAACACTGAATTAAATTTACTAAGTGTTAAATTAATAGGCTATACGAAGCTATCTAACGATATAAATTTATCGTGATTAGAAGTAGTAGTTTTTTCTCGATGTATTTCTATTAATTGTTAATCTCATTGCTCAAGTAATATCATTTCATATCGCAATTTCCTGATTACCGTCATAATTTCTCCGCTAAGTTGACCTACAAACACGAATTTTGCATTTGTGATTTATATTCTTTTCCATATTTCGCATATTTTTATGCGGACTAATTACCGTGTACAAAATTTATCATTTGTTCACTTCGAATTTAGTGCACGCATATATAGGCGAGGTCACGCGATTAAATTTTAATTTTTCATTTGTATGTTTAATTACCCCATTTACTAAAATAACAGTCTGACAAAATGACAATATATAACAACGGTAGAATAAAAGAAGAATGAATGATTCACTATTTATAATAAAGATGTAGGTCGCGAATAACGCGAAATACGAATCAAATATTTAAATTAATGTATAATCAAACCTTAGTACTTAAAATTATAAGCGCGGAATAAGAATTATAATAATTTTTTAAAATGTTAAACACACATTTAAAGAATAATTCATTTAAGATTTATAATTATATAGAGATCGTTGTTATTTTCTTTGTGAATAAAAATATCCATCATGAAAGGTTATAGTATGATCATTATTCGTCATCACGATGACACGTCGTGACGTAATCTAACGCATTGCACTATAATTGGCGACTTCTATTTTCCTCTTTCTTTTAATGTCTGTCTTCTTGCTTTTTTTCTTCTTTTCAGGAATGATTCCAAAGGCCCGAATCTACTTCAATGATTAATCACATGCATATCATCCATGTAAGATATGAGATTAAAGACATTACGAGCTGTAAAAGCACATTTATTGCTGTCGTTACAATTTCAATTAATTTTAATCCAAGAGTATATGAGTCGCTATATATGAATATTAATTTTATATCTCATCTCTCGTCCGTTTGCTCGTTAAATCTGAAAGTCTGAATCATGAGTAGTCTGAAAGTCTGAATAACGAGACCAGACGAGCGCGCATCAATAAGTGAGTTAGATACAGCAACGAATTAGTTAGAAAATATTGCTCAGATAAATTCTTCAATATTTAATAAAGATATCACTTATATAGAAATAAAGATAGCATTCTCATTTCATATGATAAATATATCATGTCATAAAATGCATACTATTAGAAATTAATACGAAAAAATAGTTAGACCCGGTTGCACCAACGTTATTTTAGCTTTAAGCGAGACTTAAATATATATCTATCTTTATCTTTCTTTCTAAATAAATAAAGATAGACATATATTTAAGTTTCGCTTAAAACTAAAATAATGTTGGTGCAACCGGGCCTTAACATTTCTGATATTTAACATCTGACATTTAACATGTCAGAATATGTTTAAATTTATCACTGAATAAGAGATTACCAGCTGCATGCATCATTTTACTAACTATTTATATAAAAACGTTTCAACCTTCATTAAGCCAACAACTCGTGATGACTCGTCGATGATTTAATAGAATAATTCCAAATGACTAAATTTGTTTCGCTGTTTAGAATTATAAATTTCAAAAATCATTAAATTAATCATCTGTAATTTGTCTTTTATGTAAAATATTCGTTTGACTTTATATATAAAATTTTTATATAAAAATATCAAAATTAAATTAAACTAAGAAACTAAATTAATTAATTGTTTAATTTATACCGTCAAATGCAAAATACTTAAAAAAAAGTGAACTTTAAGCTATGTCACAATATTTCTTTATACGACATAATCTAACGCAGATAAAAAATTTCATAAAATTCGCAATTATATGATTCCTAAAATTATTTGAAGGATTATATTTTTGCGGATTATCATTTCCGATCACGTTGCGAGGCTAAATTTCATTACTGTCATATTTGAAGTGCATTCTTTGCAGTTATCTCGATCGTTAGCTAAACCGTTTCAACTGCTTTGTGGCAATTTTGGCGTGAAAATAAAAATTAATTGATGTTTTTTAATGAGAAATAGAAGAGCGGAAACATACCAACCGTGTCCCAGAAAGTTTGTCATTATTATATCATGTGATTTTTGTCACAAAAATGTCGATCACGCGCAGGATTCGTTGTCGATATCACAAAAATTCCATCCGCATCGCTTTCTCTCTTTCAAAACTTTTTTACCGAAATCATCGTTTTTCCGAGGAAAATGATCATTTCTCAGATTGAAGGTACAAGTTTCGCAAAGCGTCGTGAGAAATAAAAATGGTTTTTGCAATATGTATGCCAGAGGAAATGAGATCAAAGGGATATTTTTATGGCGACTTTGAATGATCGTAAGTTTTTCGATGGCACATGAAAGTGCCACCGTAACATAAGAGTTTCTTCTTTCTTAAGAAGTCGCAGATCCGTTTCCTTGTCGTAGGTCGATATTTTGTTATCGGGAAACAGTAGTGTCTGATGAAACGATATGGCGGATATCGAGATAAATTACAAACTGACAGCGCTGAAATCGTTACGATGTTCACGATCTTGTTCATCGTCGTATCCGCTACGAATTCTGAATTTCTCATGAAGTTCGTTGCACAGAAATTGTGATCTATAAATTCCTACAGCTCGCTATTACTCAAATATGGGTAGATTATTTTGTCAAAAACATACGAAGATTCTAATCAATTAGATAGGTTTGTGGTTTGAATCTCAACTTAATGTGATAAGAGTAGTGTATTTCGGAAAATATAAAAATGAATTTAGTTTTTTTCAAGTTTACTTCGATATATTTACAGTTTAAATAAAATTTGCTATTATTGCGATAAATTGCATCTAATATTTCAGTTCTAATTTAAATATGATCCAATTATTAGTAATTAAATGCATCATTATTATAAAATGATCTATTTAAGATGCTTATACATATAAAGAGAGTTATGCGTGAAAACGAAAGAATAAAGGAAAGAAACAGGTTCGAGATTTGAGAAATAAGAACAATGTTAAATCCGCGCCGCCTAAATGGCCTTTCGCGATATCTTGTTGAAATGAGCGTGTCTCGACGGACCAATAAAGACTAGCTTTTTCTTTTTCTGTCTTTCGCAATAAAGAAAGGACTTGCTCCACGTGTAATCCTTGATTCTGTCATAAACATAAAAACGCGAGAGTTTCGATGTAAACGGAACAGGGGAGAAGACAAATTATAAAAAACAAAGTGATTAAAAGATTTCCAATTGCGCAGATTGATGTGAAAAACATGAAAAATTTGCATAATGCTAGCTTGATGGATTTTTTATCATAAACTTCAAACCGCAGAGAAATATATTATTAACAATATAATGTATCCTTTAATAGATTTATGTGAACTGAAAATCTGATGAAATAGAAGTAGATCCTTGCATTTATAAATTTCTTGCAAATAATTGACTGTATTTATGGACATATTTCATTATAACAGCATGTAAAAAATATAGGGATATGTTATTAATATCATGTATGCGTATATACAATATCTTGATAGCCTTAAAAATAATTACGTAAATTATAAATCTGATATAAAAAGAATAAATTCTAGAAAATACAAATAATTGCAAAACACATAGTTTAGTTTATACATTACAGTGAAATAATAAAAGAATAGAAATTAAGAGGCATAGAGGATTTCTTTTTACGACAATCATTAAACACGAATATTATTTCACGTAAATTTTCCAGAAGTTATTATCGTCCTACATGAAGAAAGAGACTTTAAAAAAAGGTGATCTCTCGACGCAGCGTGCAATAAACATTTTTATTGGAAAAGAAAAAACTTACAAGCGAACTTTTCTAAGAGAAAAGAAAAAGTGAAGGAGCAAAAAGATACATTTTGATAAAATGACAACGGATGGAGTTGCCATCGAATAAACAATTTTATTTGTTCTTGTAATACAGAGCACAACGCTTTTCTTGATAAAATGGAAACTAATTAAGTGAAAGAGAAGATACCGAGGAGCAAACGAATGTCGCGTAGAAATTGTCTGCGGGCTGCGGATTTGCAAGATGAAGTGCATTGCAAGTTCCATCGAGAAAACACGCGAAAATAATTTTGACCGTGATCGCTCGGAGAATCACGCCAGATGGAAGTTCTAAGACAGTGGCAGCCGGCGGAATTGCAAGAACGTCAATTTCTTCTATTCTTCTACGGATCTCTAGCGCGCTTCTGAAGAATGGACGAGGCTGGATTCCGTGAACGACAGGTGTGGGAGGAACACCGGAATCATCAGGTAAGAAATCGACGATTGCTCATCTCATAAACGTGCACTTCCTCAGTTCTTTGTTTCTTTGTTCCTGTTTCGCATAATCAGAATCGCATTAGAGATGAAAATCCTTCTGGAATGACTCGGATATCGAATAATTCTGTGCGAAATTTATTCTTTAAATCTATCGACAAGAAGAGTTTATCTTGATTTTATGATAGTTAATTTCACAATTGTGTCTTTTGATTAATAATAATAATTAATAAAAACTCTCTTGTTAAGAAATAACTATAATTTATGCAGGTTGAAGATAATTGCATTTTTATGCATAATATACTCGTATATCGACATATTTCAATGCTTAACATTGAGCATGTTGTTTGCACAGCATTTGTGAGAGGCAAAGAAAATTTTGGTAATTTATCATGTTTATTATCATAATTTTAACCCAAATAGGAAAACGAGATAAAAGAAATTAAACCGGCTCTTTTTGTTTTTTCCCACCGTTGCAAGCACGCTTATCCTCGTTTCTCTTGTTAAGCTTTTTTTCTGTGAGTATTTGAGAGAGACACGCAGGAAAGCCCGAAGAAGAAGCTCGGCATCAGTTGACCTCATTGCACTTTTTTCCGTAATATGTCTCGTATAGTTTTTTTTTCTTCACTCAGCTTACAAGCAACTAAGGGAAGCGTTTGTTCTCAAACGTTTTCCCTTGCGGAAAAGTCCGTCGATTTCCCGAGGACAACGACCTGACGATGGTTGCATTAAACAGGAGATTTATTTTTATCTCCAAGAGAGAGAACATTGTTACAAAAGTAGCGTCAAATTGAAGAAAATTTCATTATGCGTCCGAGCGATGCACTGGATCGAAGTTTCGTCAAATTTTTTATACGGCATATAAATAGATATATGTACACATACATGCACACAGGTTACACGAGTAAGATTTTCATGGATGCTAGTATCGATTTCCGTAACACGCGTTACGTCTCGTTGAAGTCGCCCGTTGCACTTTATACAGTTATGAAGTACATTCTCTTGTGTCATCCTGTATCGTCACCTCTCTCATTCTTCTCTTTTCTTCTTTTATTTTTTAACTTTTGAACGTTTCTAGAATTTTTCGAGACAGACTGTCAGTAACACAATTACAATTTTTGAGGGTTTGATTGTTACTCTAAATACATCGAGCTACGCAGTCTATAAGCGCTTTTCTCATGCACTTTAAATTTCCAATAGATTTTACTTTGGTTGATTGTTTCTTAAATGAATTCGTTTTCTACCTAAATTTAATTTTTCTAGTATAATCTAGTATAATCTATTATTTTCTAGTATAATCTAGTATAATATATAATGCCAATATTTCCATGTGTTTTACATAAAATATCGAAAATATTTAAAATACATGTGCTATTGTCGAATAAAAAAATCAATATTTAGAAAGATTGAAGATTGAAATCTAGGAACAAAATTCATGAACAATAATTTTATGTATATTTTATTTCTTCAATTGTTTTCTATATTACATTATATATATATATATATATATATATATATATATACATATAATGTAATATATAATAGAAGACTATACATATATAAAATTATAAATGGAATTTTATAAATCTAATTTTGTCGTGTTTTTATCATAAACAGGTTTTTACAGGTCATCTAAAATAAATTTTTTAAAATCAGAAATAGATATATTATATATAATTATTCGAATATATTATTTAATTATTTAGATATGTTATTTTATTATTTGGATATGTTATATAATTATATTATATAATTATAAGTAATATATCAAAATAAATTATAAAATAATTTGAAATTATTAATTTACGTATATATAATTTATGTATATATAATTTGATATGTTATTATATGAGTTATGTAATAATCCGATTCGATCAGTATTTTGTAATGAGAAATAGAACAGTTAATTTGAAACGCGAAAAATTAATCATGTCACACATCGGACATTCAGTCATGTGAAATATTCAGCATCGCATCTATGGTCATCCACTTCATAAATTTTCACCGGTGCGTTTATTTGTAGAATGAGATTTAATTTGTGCAGCTTCGAGTATTTTGTTTTCGTTTAACAGTTTCTACTGCGACCATAACACGTTGTTAACGAAGGGGCTTGTTTGATCATCACGCGCGCATACCGGCAAATATTTTCAGCTGGTACTTGCAATCAAGCTAATAGTATTTCGTCGCGGTGAGGTTCTATGAGAGCTTCCATGTAGAAACGCATTTCCGCGATGCTTATATATATGTGCAGACAATGTGGGCGACAGTGGCCAATCTCATTAGGAATTTTTAGTTCACATTAAGCTGCGGCAATGTGCGTACAGTAGTATTTCATATTTTGTCCATCAATCCTGTTTATTCCTCACGAAAATGAAAGGAACGAAATTGTGTGGAGAAAACAAATGGAAAGTTATTTTTAGTATAAAAATATGCATTTTCTATCATTCGCTTTTTTCGTCACTACACCTGAAATGAACAATTATTTGCGTAAAAATAGACATATATACATAATACAAACTTTTCAAAATTATCGGGATAATATATAATATATAATAATATCGTGTATTGACGTATAACTAATATAGCCAATAATTCATGTTACACCGTCGTCTTTCAATCACGGATACATTTTTACGAACGATTTACGTCACGACGAAGTTAGAGGATTCACACGGGCAGTCGATGTGGCACGCGGACAGATTTCGCGTGGAACATGCTGTTGACGCGCATTTGATAAGGACACTTTTCGCCCATTGAGGGCGAATAAAAGCCCGTGCACTGCAACTGTCGTTTATGCGTCGCGCCGATAAATTCGAGCGCGTCATTTCTTTTTGTTTGCGTTTCTCATGCATGCTCGTTTATATCGAAATAATGATGCTGTTGCATAACGCCCGGTACTCCGCGTGTACACGCTTGTTTGCTCATGCGAATCGAATTTGCCTTTCCGCGCAATAGATAAGAACACTGCTACTGGTACAAACCATTTAATCGTACAAACCATTTAATCGTACATTCCTTTCATTGATCGTAGTTTATGTGTTTCTAAAGAAACGAAAATTTAAATATAATATTAATATTTCTTTCCCACAATTTATGATCGCAACCAATGTTGTTATGCTATATTTGCATCTAATATGTCATTTTTTATAAAGAAGGAAAGAAAACTATTCTTGAATGTATTACTTTTCCTCGTTTAAAAATCGCGCGTATTTCATTCATGGAATTAACTTGTAATTTTCTTTGTACTGCATATGTGCGATTAATTAATACCCATCGTATCCTATACATTATTTTAAAAATTTAAGTAATGTGAATAAATTATTTCTGGAGATTGAATTTGATTAATTAAATAATATATTATGTGATACACGCACACATATTACGAATTTATAATTAATTGTAACCATTTATAATTATAATTGCAATAACTGTTAAAACATTTTTTATGACATATGAAACGTAATCTTCGAATTTTACTTAGTCTTGAGGAAAGAATTGCTAAAATCTCTGATAAAGATGATTAATAACTTTTGATTATCTTTCAGAGGCATTCTTAGCGTGCTCAAAAGCATCTAACTCAGAAGAAGCATAGTTTCGATTATGCTTCCTTGTAGGACTCCAGCTGCCACGCGAGCTCGTCAGAAGAAGCTTGCAATACAAAGAGCTATTTCAACAAGATGAATGATTACAATACAGGAAATCCACAATAATATTGTTCCAAATTTTCAAATTTTTAGTTGCTCTCATTTCTTAAATCTCAATTATTATATTAATATTTTCAATTTTTATAAATTGGCAATGATATTTTGGAATTTTCTGTTGAATTAAATTATACTTATTATATTTTTAATAATAATTATTTTTTTATTATATTTTTAAAAACACGAGATTAAGCTTTCAGTGAGTATTATCGCACTAATGTGATATGTAAATAATTGTAATTTTGAATATTGACATTTGAATATTCTCATTATTATTTTTACGAAATTTTCGCAAAATTTTGATAACTATTTAGAACAAAATTATTACATGATAAAAAGTTGAAAAGCAATATTGATTATCAATTTTGAAATTAAATTCGGACAAATCTAAAGTTAACAAATATTTTTTAAATTCTCTTTAATTTCCGCATTTATTTTTGCAAATATAATAATTAAAGTATAGAAATTACAAGTTTTCTGCATAGTAATTTCGTTTTTTTAATAAGATTTTACATCTGTAACCGTGTACATTTATGGGATTATATTTTACATAAATTTGGGAATTATCTGTGATTAATTAAAAGTTGTACATTTTATTTATTGTTAATTTTATCCTATTTATATATAACGTAAAATTTTATTCCATTATATATAACGTTATAAATTAAAAATAATTATATATTTTTTAACCATACACAATATATATTTTAATAACGCAATAAAATATATGTGTATTTACATATATTTACGTAAATTAATATGCACAAATATTCAATTAGAATTCCTATTTGAATATTATATGTTCTTTTAACTTTATTATTTATTCAATGTGAAGCATTCTTTTTGCTCCTGGATATTAATTAATATTATGTCAATAAGTAGAATCTGGATTTATCGAACTTATTCGTTCGGTTAGAAAAATTAAATAAATGACTACAGAATTATTCAAATCAGTGTCGATAGCTTATAATCAAATTAATGCTCTTTAGAAGGATGCATTCGTTCGAGTAATCAGTGCGTACGAACTGAAACATGTTTGCGCGATGCGGTCGCGATCAATACAAAAGAGAGATAGAGAGAGAGAGAGAGAGGGAGAGGGAGAGAGGGAGAGCCATTTATAATCAAGCTCGAGAGCGAGACGAATACTATTAAACATTCTCTTGTAATAGAGGACGCTATCTTGCGAACGAACTTTGAGACATACCCGAGTTAGTTTGTCGAGAAAAGGAGTTTTCGACAACATCTGCGAGAAACTGATATCTTATGCGAAAACTGCGCGGAAGATTTACGCGT